TTGTCTCTTATTTTGTGTGTGTGTGTGTGTGTGTGTGTGTGTACACACCTAAGGCAGCATTCCTGAAAAGAATAGGCTGGAAAACAGAGAGGAGAACATCGTTGCGTTCGATTATTATTTTTTTAAAACTTTTGTTCTTTTATTAAAAGATTAATCACCTTAATCTTTAATTTTAAAAAGATTTTCAAAAAGAAATACAGTCTTTTTCAAGCCATCCAGGAGCAACAGGAGTGGTACAGAAAGGGCTGCCCTGAAGGGCCACATCTTGTTTCCTGCGCTTAGAAGGTCCTGCGTGTAAAAGCGCGTGGTTAAGCAAGGCTGCTCCGCGAGGGTCTGGTGTGAATTTGCAAGGGGGAACGAGAGTTCGGGCGTCTCCGTGTTGAGGGAAGCGATGTCACCCTTGCATCGTGATATCTCGGAGACTGTTAGCAACCAAACTGTGTTTGCGTGAAATGCTTACATTGTGCCTGTTTCTCTGGGCAAATTTTCTGCGCTCTCACCAACACTCAGTCCTAACATAATCACACAGGTTGGGTTCTCAGACACACTTGAACAAAATATTAATTTGTGGCTTGCTTCTCCCATGTAAAGCCAGGGTGGGCAAAAATGGATCCAGAGATAAAATGATGGGGAAGATCCAGCAGTTGAATTCTGGCACGGCCATTTAGTTCCTGCTATTTTGGTGCATATAATTTGGAAGAGCCTGCATGTGCAGGCCCAGCCTTCTCCAACCTGTTGCTCTCAAAATGCCCAGCCAACAGAACCATGTTGATGGGGTTGACATTAAATATGTTGAGAGGACATCAAGCTGGGGAGGACAATGCTAGATCACAATTGGATTGAGGCACAGGTTGAGCTTATACACTCCGTAAAATGGTTTATTTAGTTTTGGTTTTAGCAGGTTGTGTGAAACCAGCTCTGCTGATGTCTAAACCATGGCTTATTAGTAGTATTTTTCAACCTTGGCAACTTTAAGACATGTGGACTTCAACTCCCAGAATTCCCCAGCCAGCATGCTCTCCAAGTTGCCAAGGCTGAGAAACACTGGTTTGTAGGGTAGTGTGTGTGCAAGCACAGGCCACCGTGGTTGGTTCACTAAAGGATGGTCAAGCTAACCATGATTTAGTGTGGGAACACCCACCCTTTTTGAACTATTGAGCCCATTGGTGAAGTTGACCTTTGCAAACTTTCTCATAACCCGGCGACTGAGGGGCTTTGCTCATTCACAAAATGGCTGCCGTGGAGGACAGAGACAGTTGTAAAGGGCAGAGGTACCTGAATGCAACCTGCTGTTGTCTCTTATTTCCGTCCCTGCCTGCAGGGGGCTCTTTCCTCGTCCCTGGCCCTTTTCTGGGCATGAGGATCTATTTCTGTGGACATCCATCTTTGTTATCTTCTAATAAAGCTTCTGGGCTGAAGGGCATTCTTGGGACAGGATTCTTGCATCGTTGTGCTTCCCTTTACATGTACTGACCACCAGGAGGCGGGAGGTGGCTGGTTTTGTCCTATGTTGGGACTCGTCAGATGTACGTAGCCAGATCTTTCTATGGCACTCGGCCCTCTACTAGGAAAGATCTGGCTACCTACTTCTGATGAGTCCCAACATAGGACCAAACCAGCCATCTACTGCCTCCTGGTGGTCAGTGCAAGCAAAAGCACCACACAGGATATCCACGGCAAAAAATAGAGAAAATCCCCCCAACTCTCGGTGTGCGGAAGTCACATAAAACCTTGTAAATGAGGACATGACATAATGTAACATCTATATCTCTCTGCTCTAAGAGTTTAAAGGAAGGTGGACTCTATTCTGTTCTGATACTTCTCATATTTTGTAATCTAAGTAAGTTTCTTCTGGGCTAGAAAACTAGTGTCTGCGTAAAGGTGTGTCTCTGGATGTACCTGGCACGGAGTGCTTTGTAAGCGTAGCTGAAGGTTTGTCCTTTCCTCAATAGATGCCGCCTCACCCTCTTTTCTTCTACGGAGGGCTGCCCGCGGGGAGATGGGCTGCATTAGGAGTCCCCCAGGTCTGGAGTGGTGGGGAGTCTATGCTGGAGAAATAACCCTAAGTGATAACCTCTCCTTTGCTTCCTACTACAGTTCAAATGCACAGCCCTGCACCGAGCCTGTTTGCGGGGCCACGCAGAGATTGTGGACAAGCTACTGGAAGCGGGGGCCAAATTGGAGCCAAGAGACATGGTGAGTCTCGACCGATGGCCTATAAATCCTCAATGCCGGCATTTCTGAGATCTTGGAGTGCTGCCATTGCAAACAGAGGACCACCAGGCGTTTTGCAGAGAGCAAGAATCTGTCTCTCTCTTGGCATGCGTTCCAGGAGATCTTTGCCTGAAAAAGAATGAGGATTGGGTCCCCGGTTTGTCAGTCTTCCCCTAATCTGTAGAGTTATTCCCACACTGGCAGGAAATAGTAGTTCAACAGTTGCCGCACTCACAGGTTGGGGAAAGCTGGTTTAAGCCTGCCAAAGGATGCTAATGTAGCACGGGTTGCAGCATTTCGGCCTACCCGCAATCATCAAGGAAAAACAGTTGCTGCTGTAAAATTTCCCAGCACAAAGAGAGAGGTCTAGCATGTTTGCCTCCAAGTTGCTCAGAGAGAGCTGGCTGGGGAATTCTGGGAAATGGAGCCCACACGTCTTAAAGTTGCTAAGGTGGAGAAACACTGCTCTAATGGAGCATTTCCCAACGGATGTCTTTGGATGAATTTCAAACTGCAGCTCCCAGAATTCCTAGCTATGCTGGCAGGGGAATTCTGGGCATTATAATCCCAGGTCCTCTGGAGGGCACCTTTTGGAGGAAGGCGCCTTGGAATGATGCAGCCAACCAGCATCTTTTGAGGCTTTTCCTACGAGCAGGACGGCCAGCAAGTCAGCCCTTCCAGCTGCTCTCCAAATTGGCTGTCCAAACCTTCCACCCCGAAGCCTCTGAGGTGCATTGGAGATTCTGCTCCGTTCACCCCAAAGAGTGGAAATCTGGCCCGTTTGGAAGGTTGGAGAAGACTAATGGCCTTACTGAATCTTTTCTGCTTTGGTGCAGCTGGAGGCCACCCCCTTGTTCTGGGCTTGTCGCGGGGGACATCTGGACATCCTCAAGGGGCTGATCAGCCGCGGAGCCAAGATTTCCACGCGGGACAAGGTGAGTGGTGGGAAGGTGGGGTCCCCTTTCCTGTTCCTAAATGAGCCATGGAGGGATTCATGGTGGACCTCTTGTTCTGATTGCAGCTATGGAGCACCCCCCTGCACGTGGCTGTCCGGACAGGCCACTCTGACTGCGCCGAACATCTCATTGCCTGTGGAGCAAACATCAATGCCCAAGATAAGGTGCAGGAAGGGGGAGGGCGGGAAGGATGCTTGGTGCCAAGAGCACCTTTTGCCTCGGGCAACGAAAGGGCAGCAGGTACCCAACTTTGGCCACGTCCACCCCAACCTTCATTATGGTGCCATTCTCCTGATCATCCTTTCGGGGGAGAGGCACTGACAGTAAGAAAATTATTCGCCTAAGTCTGAATCTGGGCGATCAGAACACAGTGCTCAAGGAACGCCATGCGATGGCCAGGTTCATGCATGCCAAGACAAGGACTGGATTCTTACAACTTGCTGAACTGCTAACACCCAACATAACTTAGTCAAAGGTGTAATATGACTCCAGCTTCAATAGCTGTTCCTAAGCACTTTTACGATTGGGTAAACTGTGTTTTTAAATAAAAGATCAAACATAAAAACCATAAGACATCTTTGCAGGAATCTACAGCGGGCAGTTTTTTTCTCCCCGTTGGCACCAACTTCAGAAGCGACACTCCATTCTGCCAAGCCATGGGGTGGGGGCTGTGGCCAAGGGCCAGGGAACCTGCTTTGCATCCTGCAAAATTCAAGGTCCAGCTGCCAGCTTCTCCAAATCCTGGTGGGGAGGAGAAAGTCTACTCTGGGACTGTGGAGGTAGTGAGCAGGTTGACACAATAAACTAAACCCTCCGTCCAGGTTAACAAATCACAACCACTATGCTTACCAAACGTGCGAAGCTCAACAAGTAAACCTTTTATGCCATAATGAGGCGGGTCTGGATAACAATCTGGTGCACAATCTGGTTGGTTTGGTTTCACGGTGGCGTGCCTCACTGCAGTGTTTGAATCCAATCTGTTAAGCCATGTCTATGCAAGTCACGTCTTGATGAGGTGTGGGTGAACCAGGTTGTATAATGCATCTTGCTGTCTTTCCTTACCGACAGCGCCACTCCAAGGGTTGGGCAGGGGTCTTCCCTGGCTCAAATGCGAGAGATCAGAATTTAGCCCCATCCCCATCTTTGAACCAGGATCAGGATGGAGGGAACTTGATGCACTCATTCATTGGCTGCATCTACAAAATAAGCTTCAGCGGGTCACTGAAGACCCAACAGATGCATTAGAACAATATATTAAGCTTCGTTACTGGAGACCTGTTTATGGTGGCTTAACATGAAATGCAAACCCAGCCTGTTTGGTTCGCTCAGGGTTTCTCAACCTTGGCAGCTTTCGGATGCGTGGACTTCAATTCCCAGAATTCCCCAGCCAGCAAAGGTTGAGAAACATGGGGCTAATTTATAGTCCAAAGCATTGGGCAAAGCCAGAAAATGGGTTAATTCATAACGAAGTCAAGTGTGTTGTATGAACTCACTCTTTTCTCCTGGCCAGGAAGGAGATACACCCATTCACGATGCAGTCAGGCTAGGACGATTCAAGGCGGTCAAGACCCTGCTGATGTACGGTGCAAATCTTGGCATCCAGAATGAGGTGAGGAAGAACCCAGGCTGG